TAATGTTATTTTACTTTATTTTACCAAATGTTATTTGATGAGGTTGTATTTTGAGTTAACATATTTTACACTAGTAAATATTATTTCTCTGTACTTGAGGATTATTTATGGACACTACCCCCCCCCCCTCAAAAAAAAAAAAGACGCTTTAAAATGTCAAGGGTTTATTACGCAGCTTTACGTTAAAGCCAACAACAAAACATTCATGATAATATAAAGATGTCTTCATCAATTTCAAAAGATGTTTTCATCCAACACATTGATTTATTTGTTTAAAAATTGAAGGAGTTCAAGCTATGTTGTCTCAAAATTCTACAGGTTTAGTTGTGTTTTTTTAGAATTCTATAGGTTTGTTTGCGTTTTTTTCTTTTGGAAATTTTCAAGAAACACTTTTCTACATGCCTCTCTACTGTCATTTTAATTACTTCGTTAGTTAGTTTCATAAGTTCGGGCTACTCTGTTACTACACGAGGGCTATCTGCGCTAGCCGGATAATTTAGCAGTGTAAGACTAGAGGGAAGGCAGCTAGTCATCACCACCCACCGCTAACTCTTGAGCTACTCTTTTACCAACGAATAGTGGGATTGACCGTCACATTAGAACGCCCTCCACGGCTGAAAGGGCGAGCATGTTTGTTGGGATGGAGATTCGAACCCACGACCCGCAGATTGCGAGTCAAGCGCCTTAACCACCTGACCATGCCGGGCCGTGCGGAAAGGAGAGTCTTTGGTCATAGTGACTCCACTGACGTCACACAATTCGCGATACAGACTGCAGCGATTTTCCAGGTCCCTTTGTTCAAATATTTTACAAAAATTGTCAAGTTATTTCCCAACATTCCTATGGTGGAACTCAAACTCGAGAGATGTTTTTATTTTTATAATCATATGATCCACAGCTGCTGAAGACCGAGCACGTGAGCTATTTTGTTGGGAAGCGATCGTGTTTCAAAAATTGCAGTTTAATCTGGACTTTACAGTCACACCATCACATCTTTGTTCAAGTGGTACAGTGCAGCACGGTCTATGTTCACGCACGTGCACACAGTCGACCTATTTCTCTACTTAAACATTTACATTCAGGCATAACCACGGAACGGTTGGTGTAGAATCAGTCTTGAGAAGCATGATCGCGTTTCTCATATAAAATCCGAAAGCCAGAGCGTAGCTCATAAACTTAATATGTTGTTTAATGCATTTGTTTGTAGTTAAGCGCAAAGCTACACAAAGGGCCATCTGTGCTCTGCCCGTCACGGGTATCGAAAACCCGGTTTCTAGCGTTGTAAGCCCGCAGACGTTCGCTGTGTCAATGGGGGGGGGGGTTGTTTAATGTGAAGATCCACTTTTTCTTATCACTTAGTGATGCACAATCCGCTTCATTTATTTGTATAATTTCAACTATTAAATAAACAAAGCACAATGTCTGTCCCCCTCCCTTTCCCACCCGTAACTATACCTTGGCCCGGCAT